CAGAACAGGCAGATCAACGAAGCACACCGCTGAGGGGAGCAGCGGGCGGGTCAGGAGAGGTCTGCCACGCCATGTGGTCACCTCCGGGGCAGGCGGGGATTGAACTCATGTGCAAGTGGTTTTAGATTCTCAGTGCTGTGCTTTAACCTGTCGCGCCACCAGGGAGGGCCTACAGTTTTAACTATAGTAAAACAAACCAGTAAAACCCCATTTCCTGGCAGAAGTAAATATACATATTTAATTAATCTTGGTTAGTTTGGGTAATATACATTGTCTTTTATTAGCCAAATTTTCATTACTGAGAATTTTCTTTATTTCTTAAAAGTTTGTAGAGATTTTAATAATATTCCAAACCTCGTAAAGGTCTTTCATTGCTGCTAGCTTAGATTCAAACTTTTCCAAACTCCAGAAAGTTGAGATTCCTAGTTGCAGGTTACGAACCCGAATAGATATGCCAAAACTACTTCCTTTCTCTGGTAAATCATGTCTGAAAGAAAAATAAACAATAAACAGTTACTCTGAAACATAAATACCTATTCATACAAAGTTTCCAGAGTTAGAAAACTTTCCACAATTAAATCTTTCCATATAGTATATATACTATATACTATTATATAAATAACCTACATAATATAATAGTATATAATACTATATAATAATATATAATAGTATATGTATTATATACTATTATAAAAATAACCTACATAAAAGTGTTATAAAATACTCTAATAAGGTATTAAAGCAGACTACTGATATGGTGATGGGAAATCCGCGGGGATTACAATAGAGATGAAAAAAAAAATGTACAAAATGATGTAAAAATAAACTTTTGTTTATTTTGTAATAAAAAAATAAAAATAAAAATAAATAAGAAAAAAAAACAGACTACTGATAAATTTTCAACTCAGAAGAAATTTAGGAAATTCTTAAATCATGTAAAATTATTATGCTTACAAAATACGCAATGTTAATTGTGGACAGCTATTTTACTAGAGGGGTGAGTGCTGAAAGCGGAGTCTGAAGGTGTCACTGGGGATTCTGATACTTGCTCTTTCATAGACAGGCAAGACAAATAGAATATCATGTTTTTAGAGAAAATAAATTAAAACGATTAAACTATATGAAAGTTAACTAGCTTAAAATAAAGAACTATTTTGCAACCTGTATAATTAACACTCACCTACTGAAAACATAGTATTTTTTTAATTTGTTGCTGATGGCATTGGCTTCCTGAATCATCATTGAGAGCTTCATGGAACTCCAGTTTGGCTGAACTAAAAGAAGGCACACAGAGAAGACTTAAAATATTGTTTGAGGCCCTCCCTGGTGGCACAGCGTGTTGAAGCACAGCACTGAGAAGCTAAAGCCACTTCCTCATGAGTTCGATTCCCGCCTGCCCCGGAGGTGACCACGTGGCGTAGGGACATCTCCTGACCCACCCGCTGCTCCCCTCAGCAGTGTACTTCATCCATCTGCCTGTTCTGCTCCCCACTCTGTCTCTGGTGAAGCCTCTCGCCACCCCTGAGCCTCTGGCCTGTACCCCAGTTCAGTATGTACAAGTAAATAAATCTTTAAAAAAAAAAAAATATTGTTTGAACACTATGGTAAAACACTAGGCAGAACTCCTGGGGAAAGAAAGGATTAATTTTAAATGAATATGTTTAATAAGATATTGCAAAAGATAAGGGTCATATTTGAGTAAATTTCCTAAATATGCTTTGACCCCCTTTAATGAAATAAATATTCTTCATATAAAATAATTCTTTTATGGGAGCATGGGAACAAAGTGAGATTGATCTCAAGAGGATAAAGTTTTTATAGGAGAGAAAATGCCAAAAACAATGCTTGTCTATCAAATATCTGACAATTACTTTTTTCCTAGCCATTTCCTAATTTTTAAAATTGATCAAGGTAATCCATTCACAGACTAAGGAAGAAACTTGTATAAGTATATCACTAATGCAGAAAGCATTAGAAAAAATTCAGCACTAATGCAGAATTCAAAAATCTTAGAAAAATAAGCAAATATCCTCAATGTGAGGAAATACTGCTAAAAATCACTTTATGGGAAAATCTGAATGCTTTCCTCCTAAGACTGGGAAGATAGCAAGGATGTTTGTTCCCACCATTCCTACTAAATATAGTAATGGAAGATCTAACTAGCACAATAAGGAAAGGAAATAAATAATAAAAAAATAATTCAGGCAACTGATTATGAACCAGGTACTTAATGGATTATTAGAAATTGTTAATATCTTAGGTACATGATATCACAGTCAGGCTTAAAAGCATAACAGAGAAAAGTTTTTGTCTAGTTTAAAGAAATATTAGAGATCAAATGTGTAATGCCTGGGCTATTTCACAAATATGGTTATCTGAGACCCTTTGCTTCAAAATAGTCCAGGCAATAAGTAGGCTCTAATATAGGTGATATAAGACTAATTTGTACTGATGACTAAAGTTGGGTGATAGTACAACAGCGTTTATTTGTCGTATTCTGACTACATTTATAGTTTGTTTGAAATGTTCCACAATGAAAAAATGTCAACATTAAAAACATGCTGTGTTCTACAAAGACATGTAGAAATATAAAAACCCTGTCCAAGTGTATAGGGAAATGTAGTACCCAGTGATTAAGCACAACCTAGTCATAAAATAAGAATTTAGGATCAGAATAAAATATTTTTAAAATCTGTTACACAGTAAAATAATTTTTAGAGAGTTTTATTACTTGTTTATATAAGTAAATATTCTAGGAACTGAATATTCTAAAATCAATCATTCATACAAATTCCTGTAGCTGCAGAAAACTCAGCAATGTCTAGAATGAAATACCTGCAATACACAATGGCAACAAATTCTAACTTTGGTAATTATATAAAATAACTTACATAGCTTTAGAAAATTCCTGCTAAAACATCGTTACTCACCGGCAAAAGTTTTATCCCTATTATTCTGATTTTGCTGTAGAATTTGTACTTCCTTGGCAATTTTTTGTTTCTCAGTCTCTAAAGCTTCCAGTATTCTTGCATGGCGGATGCTGTGGTCTTCTAAAGCCTAATGGATAAACATTCACATAGACCCAAACATGAAGTATGCAAAGAAACAAGTTATTAAAAAAACCTGATGATGATAACACATTGTAATTGTTTCACTTTATAGTAACTGTATTTTTAACCATACATGTTTAATATGTTTTATTATTCATTAAGGGCTTTTAAGAAGTGAGTATAAAATATTTTTGACACCCCCCAAAACAAAATCATTAAGAGTTTATGATGACAGATTCATCTTTTTCTTTACAGTGATAGGAAGCATGAAAAAGGAAAGATACTGCTCAAAGAAAAAGCCCACACTCAGAAACATGTGCTGAATACATAAAACGTTTAATTTAAATGACACCAAGATACCTCATTTGACACAAATAAGCCTTATAATAACCCACTAATAGAAACTGTTTTCAGTTCTGTATTTTTCGCGAAGACTCTCACAGGTGGCCCACCAGCCTTTGTGCCCCAGAGTAGGTTTGGATATGCATTATCACCATAGTATCAATACCTTGGGGCTAGGAGCATTTCCCCACCCCCATGTACAGCACAAACCTGGGGATAAAAAAATATGCCTTTTGAGAGTAAAACTTTAAGATATCAAAGCAGAGATCAAACAGTGGATCTCTAACTATTTCTCATCAAACCCCCTGCAAGACTGACTGAAACAAGATTCTGTGTCCCACACTTGGCCAGAGTGTCTTCTGACTCAGTTTTTCTGGAATCTGCATTTCTAAGAATCTGTTTTTCTATTAGGTAGTTTTGATGCTGCTAGGCACCACATTTTAAGAACCACTAACATGGAGAGAAAGATTGATCAAAAAAGTTGGCAGAAATGCTCATAAATGTATTAACATACCAACATGGCGGTTTTTTACTCAGTTTTGCCAACACTATTCCTGAGTCTGGCCGTGTAAGATACCCCTGTTCTCAATGCCTGAGCTCATAAGACAAAGGTGAGGGATGTCTCACTGTGCACTCTCCTGCAGTTACTCAGCTAGGCAGTCTGTCTGCTGTGCTTTGCAGGGCATATAATGCGTTATTCTGGCACCAGGAGGTGGTCCCATATGAGAGGTAGGTCTGTCTTCCTTCACAGGGTGTGCCCGATTTCATTCTTTACATTATTTGACATGACTTGTCACAGAAGAGTTGTTGATGAATAAAAAGAAAACTGGAATAGATCTAGCTGGAAATAACAGCTGTCAGCTTCAAAGTATTTGTGTGATGTGCGAGCAGATGCGAGCGCTACAAGGACATAAGCTTCCAGGTGAGAAGAGCCCTTCCCATCTGGAGACCTAGATCTGGCCATTTCCTGTTGAGGCACCATAATTTTTTTTCTTTTTTTTTAAGTCCAGCTTTCCCTCAAGAACAGAGTAAACTCGCCAAAGGAAATTACCTGTTTGGTTGCCAGAGCCTCCATTTCTAATCGCTTTTTGTTGACATATAGTTCTTGTTCAAGCCGTTGGTTTGTCATTTCTAACTCCTCGATTTTGTGAGTAGCCTTTTGGTGATTTATCTCCTGCACTTTCTTCCTTTGAGACTCTTCTTTCTTTAAAAAAACAGTCATAAAATATAATTAGAGCAAAAGTACAAAGAAGTTTTTTTTAAAAATAAAACCAAAAATGTACCAAATCTCTTTCTTTAATCAAGACACAGAAAACTGACTGTAAGAAATGATTTCCTATAGCTTTTCCACCTCATCAGCTTGACTATCCACCTAAAATTAGGCATGGCTAGCCAAGCCTCTCAGAGCACCCTCCTCCAAAATGGGTTCCAGGAAAGTACCATTGCCAGAAAGCCAGGCCTCAAGTGGTGCAAGACTGAATTCACCTACTTCTCTGCAGCAGCCTCCTGTTGGCCCCCAGCCAGCCTCCTAACGTGAACTTAAAGAAGGCCAAGGCTCGCTGAGGCTCTGCCTCTTTCATTGTACAGACTCCTCAGCCCCACTCCAGAGACAAAAACAGTTTAGTGTCAACCTATGACTTGGGGTGCACTAACAGGAAAAGAAAGAATTCTGTATTTTACCAGCTCTGTTTCAAGGGCTTTTATTTTGCTTTCATATGCAGCTTTTTGAGAAGAAAGCTCTTGCTGAGCCATTTCTTTTGCAATCTGGATTCCTTGCATCATTTCTTCTTTTGCTTTCAACTGGGCCTCTTTTATTTCGGCTTCAAGTCTAAGTAATAGCAAAAACATTTACAGGATAAATTGCTATGAATTCTTTCTATATCATAATACTTCTTAATCATATTAAAATGTTTTTCATTAAATAAAACTTTAAACCTCAAAACTTGCTAAGTGTTCTTAAGTTTTATTAGTTTTAGAATATTAAATAATGAAAATCTGCTAACTTACTATTAATTTCTATTACTATGAATTTCTAACTACTACAGATATTTAAGTGAATATACTTTTTTAATGCTTAAGAAAAATAAGTTAAATAAAAATGTTATTGTAGTATGAATACTGTAGTAATACTACACAAAATAAGTTATATTAACTCAACAATGGTCAAAGCAAAAATTATATTTTATATGTAGATGCCTTTCAATTCATGTTTAAGTTATAGATTATGAAATATTGATGTGGCTCAAAAAGCACATGATGTGAAAGTTGATAAAGCAGAGACTGTACCATGGCTTTTTAACTATCTCAATAATTTGACATTTTGACAAGTCAGAACATTTCAACGTGCAATAATTACAGGAAGCTAAAGTTTGTTTTTTCTCAAGAAAATCATGCTTTAGCAACTGCACTGTATAGAAATTTCCATTCTCAGTTTTCACAGAACACAGGCCTCTGCCAGACACTTGGTCACTGCTGCCAAATTGTCAGTCCTTTGAGATAAAAAATTCCTCCAGGGTATGATCTAAGTTTCTACTCTTTGTACTTTTAGAACCTAGTACAGAGACAGATACATACTATCTGCTCAGTACAAGTACACTGAATGAGTGAAACACCAAGAATAATGGTTACATCACTAGAAACCAGCAGCCAAAGAATTAACTAGAGACTAGCACATGACAAACTCTCTCTCCCAAATACTGTCACTTTTCTATAACAGAAGTAATACTTACTGTGATCTCTGGGCCATGAGCAATTCATTCTTTGCAAAGTCAAAGTCTTTTGGATCTTCACTTGTAAGAGTATCTCTACCAGATGTAAGTTTTCCTTTCTGGACTTCTACTGGATGATTAAATCTAAAATAATGATCTCCACCAAGAATCACCCGATCACCCTAGAGCACACAAAAACATTTACTATTTGAATTGTGTCTAAAGCAAAAGATTAAATAGGGTTAATTATTATAGCCAACAACTCTATAGCATTACTAATGATAAACATAAAAAGCATAGCAACTGACATTTGTTAAGTACTGTGTAAACTGGGTTTACATATACATTATCTCATTTACATTCCACAATCCATTAAGATACATATACTATACCAATTTTAGGAATGAGAAACTAAGAGCACAGAGCTTAATAATAAACATTCCTTGAGTGTACTATTCACAGGCATTTTGTTAAAAATTATACACAAATTATTACACTTAATCCTCCCTGGCCCCTGGAAGGCTGGGTACAGACAAAGTGACCACACATTCCAGTTTGCCAGCAACAAACTGACCTGTGGCTATTCTTTAAATGTGATTGTTTCAAATGTTCTCAAAAGTGTCCTGAACTTGGGTGACATTTAATCACTGGTTAAAAATTTTTTTCAAAGGTCACAGAACAAAATGGCCAGTTCAAGGTATCACCCTGCCTGATCTGATTCCAAAAACCCAGATATGTAACAATGAGGTCAGTGGCCAGTATTTTGAGTACTGGTTCATAGTGATATAACTTTTGAGTTTACGTAAGGAAAAGCAATTAATGAGTTAGTAAGAAAGAGGAAATTGTAAATTGGAAGTCCTTATCTCACTACCATTATCACAGATGAGGAAACTGATACTCCAACAAATTAAACTTCTTGCAAAAGTCAAAACGTTTCTTACATTTTAACACCAGCCAACTTACATGGTGTAACACTGTGGGTTCCAAAATATATTTTCCATTTACATAAGTCTTTGCTTCTCCAGTTGGGATGATACTCACTATCCCATCATAGTTTCTGATGGTGCTGGTAAGAAGCACAACAAAAGACATGAACATTCCAGTTATAGAAGAGCAAGCAAAATGGCCAAAGAATACATGAAAAGATTATTGCTGATGTGAAATGTATCCACAAGGAGATATAATTTCACATCTCATTACTGGCAAAAATTAAAGTCTGGGAGTCTCAAGTATGTGAAGTAATAGAGGATACCCTCATGCCAACAGAAATAGAAATTGATAAACATTTTGGAAAACAATTTGAAATTACCCAATAAAGTTGAATATGCACATATTCTACAACTTAGTATTTCTACTCTTAGACATGTAAGAGTACTTTCCAAACTTCCAAAATTATTGTATCAAAATTAGAAAATCATACTATTGATACAACACATTGGGAGAAAGAGAAAGGCTGCTTTCAACTGAGCATGCTCATGGTGGCTGTGCTCCTATCTCCTCAGCATCTGGGAAACCTGCTCTAGAGAATCCACACATTTGTACCAAGAGATAATGTACAAACATACAAACAGTGACAAAGGAACTCTCTTACACTGCTGGTGGGAATGTGAACTATGGAGAACTATATGAAACTCCTTCAGAACACTAAAAAGGGGTCTACCATGTGATCCAGCAATTCCACTCCTAGAAATCTACCCAAGGACACAAAATCACTAATTTGAAAAGAAACCTGCACTCCTATGTTTACTGCAGCACTACTTACAATAGCCAAGATATGGAAACAACCCAAAACAGGTATATGGATCAAAGAGTTGTGGTGTATTTATATAAAGGCATATTACTCAGTGATCAAAAAAGACAAACTCATGCCATCTGTAGCAACATGGATGGAGCTGGAAGGCATTATGCTAGCCAAAATTAGTCAGAAGGAAAAGGAGAAATACCAGATAGTCTCACTGATATTTGGAATACAGAGAAACCAAACAAAAGGTCAAGGGAAAGTTAAAACAGTAGGTGGTGATGGTGCATGGTGATGCAGTGACGGGAGAATTAGGGGGACTACAGCAATACAAGGGGAAAAAAATTAGTTAAAATAGATAAAGAATACCTATAGCAATACACAAATTGTGGTAGCAAAAAATTCAAAACAACCCACGTGTCTGTTAATATAATAGATTATAAAAAAAATAGAAAAAGTTGGGCCCTCCCTGGTGGCACAGTGGGTTAAAGCACTGCACTAAGAAGCTTAAGCCACTTCCATGAGTTCAATTCCCACCTGCCCCGGAGGTGACCACATGGCGTGGCAGACCTCTCCTGACCCGCCCACTGCTCCCCTCAGCAATGTTCTTCATGGATCTGCCTGTTCTGCTCCCCTCTCTGTCTCTAGTGAATCCTCCACCACCCCTGCACCTCTGGCCTGTACCCTAGTTCTGTATGCATAAATAAATAAATCTTAAAAAAAAAATAGAAAAAGTCACACAATAGAACACAGCAGTGAAAACAGAAGTGCATTAACATGGAGAAATCTTAAAACATAGAGGCAAAACCGTTTGTGCTACACCATGCCTCCCTTGCACTCTATATGTACTGTATGCTGAACATATACACATAATCATTTCACATGAATAAAATTCATGAGACAAATTTTAAATCTGTCAATCCAACCACATGGAAAAGCTTTACTATATTTTGTGCTTCATACTGCGAATAACTGAACTATCATCCCTTTACAATGCACTCCACATTTTTCCTGGCTAAAAGACACATTTAAATATTTATACAAAATAACCAGGGTAAATGAATGCCTCTGTATGACAGGAATTATATGACAGGTGACATTTTTTAAGAAGAACATACCAGTGGTCATCAGCAATCAGCACCCCAGACAACTGAATATCATGACTTGAGTTGGGCTTATACTTTCCAACTGTGGTGGTTCCTTCTTTTATCATATATAATAGCATCTCTGACAGCTGAGGGTCTTCATTGAGATTGACCAAATTTGGCAGATGATTGTCCATTTGAAATGTAATCCCTGCTTTCTGGAAGAAGTCAGAAGAAAACATTAACCTTAGCCACGAACATGAAGTTGTTAAAATCACCAAAAACTAATGGTCTGTTATTAAAATCAATTTGAAGTCTCAACAAATGAAAGGTTCTTTCATCTCTCCTTCATTATTTTCCAGTAACTGACACTATCATACTCCTTTGAATCTTAGAGTTATGTCAACTGTTCTTTGTCCTCAGTCTCATCATGCATCGGTCCATCATCAAACTATGTCGATTCCTACTGTTCTGGTGTTAATTCCTTTTGCTGCCCCTTCATGGCCATCCCCTCAGGTCAGCCCTTCTCACTCACACCTGCATGCCAGCAACACCCTGACAGCCTGTCAACAACTTCTCTTATTTTCTGTCCATCATCTTGTATCTTAGACCAGATTCGTTCTCCTGAAAGGATTTAGTCTTAAAATGGCAATTTTGGAATGCTGGCCAATATTCCAACACTGTCAATGACTTCCCACCTCTTATAGCTCAAAACACACATTCCTTGGCCTGGAAATCAAGCCCTTAACAAACTAACCAATATATAGCCTTCTAATTTCATCTCCTTATGACCTTATACAAACTGCTCACTCTGATAAAATAGGTGCTTAGGCCTTCTCCCAAGCTCACCTTATATGCCCCCACTTCACTCTCTTACAATTTTACCTGCCTTTTTTCTTCCTTCTATCTATCGAAATATTACCTAAGCTTCAAAATCAACTTAAATCTCACTTTTTCTATCAAGTCGGACTGACCACTCCCAATGAATTTTCTCCCATTCCTCTGCCTTGACCCCATCTTCTAGAACCCCACTCCATCAAAGAGTTTTAATTTCTATATAAAAGTTTAAGTCTCTTCCTTCCTATAGGGAAAGAAACAAACACAAGTCTTTCCTCTCAATCTCACAGACCCCTTCTCCAACTCCTAGTTTCTCATGCATAAAGATTTTCAGGGTTTATCTGTGTGGTTCTATTTCCTTATCTTTTTGCCCCTCTTCAACCCACTGTGACCTGGCTTCCTTCTTTCACCAGCACAGTAACTCCTTGTTTCACAATGCAAAGCACACTGATCAGAAACATGGCATCTTCTTGAGTTTTTCATTTCTCTCAACACCCACATCGAAAAGACAAATGCCTCTGGATCCCATGAACGTCACTTCCTCTCTCTCTGGAATCCAGCTGCCTGCTAGTCACTCCCATTGCCACTGCCTTACCCCAAGCTCTCATCTCTGCCCCTACACACAGCAGCAGCCTCCTAAATGAGTGACCTCCCTTGCCATCATCAGTCTTTCCTCCCTCAAACCACTTTTCACACAGTGCCAGAGGACTCCATTAAGTAAGCACATTTGTTCATGTCCGGCTCTTCCCTTTAAAACACTGGTGGTATGTGATCACCTACATTCAAGTGCCTCACTAGGTCAACATCTCTACTTTCCATCTTTCTCCAGTCTAATGTCTTTCATCAGCACTAATTTATCAACTGGACATCCAAGCTGGACTATATCTGCATGTCTGTGAAAATAATGTTTCTTTGTTTAAAATTTTTGACTTTTAAGCTAAGCAACTTTCTTTTCATTGTACAAAAACCTTACTTAGCTGGCCTTCTCTCTTTGAAGTCCTCCTTACTAACTACCCTCATCAAAGCTAATTATTCTCTCCCATTCCCTGCCTTTTATGTACTTTTTATTGCATTAGGTTGAACCAATAAATTCAATCCTTTTTTTTTTTGCCAAAACAGAGCAATTTCATAAGGTTCTGCCTCATCAAATCAGATGATGTATTTCAGTCATCTATTTATATTCTGTAAATTTCCCTCACAAGATCTGAGGGCCAAACTTCATTTTATTCAATTTGGCCTTCCCAGAGTTTAGCATGACATAATAATTAACATTTAATGAACCAAAATGAACTGAACTAGACAATTTGCTTATATTTCAAACTTCTAACTAGTTTATGGACTCTAAGCAATCATAATACTGAACTTAACGTTTCTTTATAGTCTTTTAGTCAAATTGCTCTGTATAGAATCAGGATACATAATACTTGAGAAATTGAATTATACATTTATGGCATAGTTCTGTAACTATCAGATCAATTTAGAAAGTTGAAATACCTGTAACTCTTTTGTTTCTTGAAGCTTTCTTTTTTCAGCTTGTTCAAGTTTTTCTTTCCACATTCTTTCCAGAAACAAACAAAATAATAGAGTTAAACTATCTGGGTGGGACTTTCCTGGTGGTGCAAGGACTTACGTGTCAGCACTATGAAACTATACCCAGTCAGGGAGCTAACTAACCCATATGGCACAGCAGACCTCTCCTGTCTCGCCCGCTGCTCCCCTTACCTGTATATTTCAGTAGATCTGCCTGTTCTGCTCCCCACTCAGTCTCTGGTGAATCTTCTCACCTCATCCCATCTCTCCCCCACCCCACACACACCTCTAGTCTGCACCCCAGCTCTTGCATACATAAAAAAAAAAATCTGAATAGGTAAGAGTGATAATCAAGGGACATTAATAAAGACCAGGAAATCACTTAGGAGAATTTAAAATATGATAGCCCAGGATGGACTATTCTATCTAAATAGAAGGTGGGGAGAAAAAGTCCCCTAAGCCCCTCCCAAATCACCCCAGCCCACACCCCAAGCAATATATAACGTAGGGACCATATTCCACCTTTGCATTTCTGCCATGTCTCTCTCTTGCTGATGCAATTTCATTCTTAAGGATGTTATTTCTTGCCGACAGAGCCTATATCGTTCAGGGTCAATAGTCCGACTGTTTCTTTGAGCAGCTTTTAGCTTTTCAATTTCTGCTTTCAATTCTAAATGTTTGTAGAAAGATTCATGATTAGTAACATTTGACATGTAATAATTTCCACAGTAAGAACAATCTGCTCTTTTATTTGAAGTTTTAAATATTACTGTATGAAATAGAATATTTGCAAAAATCAATTTTACTTCACTTACATTACCTATAAATCTCAACCTAGCCTTCATCTGAAAGTGTCCACATCTAAATGAATTCTCCCCCTAGTAGGATGGTCACATAACATCCTGTCATTTTGAAAAGGAAAAGGAGCACATTAGTGACACTAGACAAAGTAATAATAGAGAAAGCCTGGAATTTTTCCAGGCAAATCTTACCAAAGACATGTTGATAAAGAGCAAAGATTTTTCAAGGCAGAATTCAAAATACTGATTTTAATGAAAATGGTTCAATTGTAAAACAAAGGGCAATTTAAAGGGGGAAGGAGGAACCTGATAAATTTGTACAAGAAAAAATTGTACAAATCAAGACTGCTCCCATGAATTCAAGTCTATCCTAAATGGATGATTACCAAGAGATGAAGAAAAGTGTTATTTAGCATAAATGAAGTTGGAAAAACAAAAATCAAACAGCCTTTGGATAAATGAGTTGAGGAAGCGTTACTAAGTTGATAAGCAGTTTGATGAACAGAATGGCAATAGCAGAAAGGTAATAATAGGAAAAAAAAAGTTAACATTGTTATTTGCTGCATACAACTATTACTCAGCTATAAAATTGTTTACTTCTACTTGCTAACTCCTTTTTACCAACACTTTATTTTTTGGCTTTTTTCTATCTGTTTTACCCCATCACTTCTTGATTTTTTTCCTATTGTCTTTCTACTTATCTTCTTCCATCACTGAAGAAAGATAACTAAAAGCTATTACAAAACTATGGAAAAAAGGTCCTTGATTGTCTTAAATTGCCCATTTTTGTGACTGAAATGAGACTAAACAGTGGTGAAAATTTTTTAAATTTTTAGAAAAACAATGACCTCTAATTAACTTAGCATTCATATCTTCGTTTACTTTGGCGATGTTGACTATCATACGGGCCTGGTTAGCATATCTGAGTGTGCTTAGCGTCTCTTCAATGTTGCTGGCAGCGGGACTGATGGTGGCAATCATTGCAGTTTTTGAATTTCCACCCAGACTTTCTTTTAGTAGCCTTCAAGGAAAAAAGTCAATTAGATTTTGCTTCTACAACAACTTAATAATGGTAATTTTCTTGGAAGTACAACTCAAACTAATGGGGCATATATATTATACTTTTGACTCAATAACAGTTAAATCTTTTTTGGTTACTTACAGGTATTTTTAAAAGAACCCATGAATACTTTTATTTTCTCTTACACATTTTATATTGTTTCACAGTGCAATAAAAATATAGCTAACCATCAAATGCTGAGTAAGATACTTCTTTCCCCTTACTAAATTGTGAACTACTAAGTAAGGGGGAAGCATGTCTTGGTCATCTTTGAATTTCCAGTGCTACAACCTTTAGGAGAAAGCGCTCAATGAATGTTAAAATAATGAATGGGCATATAAACACTGGTCTTGCTTTCTACTACCTGAAAAAGCCTTATTTAAGACAGAAAAAAGTCTTAGAGAACACAGTGTAAATTGTATCTTAATTCATTTCACTATTCTTAGCCTATTACCTAGTAATGCTTACTTATCAGAATTACATAGTAAGTCTATAAAAGAAGAAATTTGAGTGCAACATATTTGAAATGAAGTGTATAATCATTAATAAAAACACTTATAAACACCTAATGTACACATCAGTGTGTGCTAAGCAAGTAAAATTACTCAATGTCATTTCACACACATAGTTGATGACACCAAATACACTTGGACAATAGACACTAATAGTATTAAGTATAATAGCAGTTGCTTACGTTCATATAGCAAGTAGTATGTACTGAGTTTTACATTAATCATTCAATCCTCATTTAACCCTAAAATATAAGGGTTACTAATATCACCATATTATAAAGGGAAAAAGTCATTATAGAGATGAGAAAACAGACAAGAGCATAAAGTGATCTGAACAGTCACAGAACACATAAGATGCAGAGTCCAGGTCCAAATCCAAGCAGTTCAGATCTAAGATTCATGCTATTAACCACTTCTTTCCTATGCCAAAGTTAAATGAAGTTAGCGGATTATTCTTTTCCCTATAGCATCCACTGTATTTTATACAATTCTTAATACTAAAAAAGATACTTGCCATGTCAGCACAGATTCACGGTAAGGAATAAAAATTCTCTTTCGGTTTGCTTGTTCAGAGAGTGCAGATATAACTTTTCCTAAAGTTAGCAGGGACTTGTTAATACTCACACCTTCCTGTTCATGAAATTTAAAAAGAGAAAAGTTTTCTTTATCAATTCATTTCACAGAAGGTTTCTCCCCTTATACAATGACTATAACATGTAAGAACTACCAACTTTCTTGTGCCTCAAAATTGAGGCATAACAGTCTTTATGAAGTAACCATCACTGAAAGTACACATTTTTAAATCACAGCAATGCAGGCTATAAACTGCAGATAAAGATGGATGAATTATCTTGGTTAAGTACAATTCGTTTGTAATCTTCTGAAACAATGCCCTATGGAGTAAGTTTCATCAACATGAGGAAAACACCATATTTACCTTCAGTCGATCTCCACTGGTGTGAGCTGTGGAGCAGCGCTCACTGCCTGCCAGATCTATTAAGTTTATGCGGCTTGTTATCCTGTGATCATGTTCCTCCCCTTCCACAAATTCTGTCTGTAGCAAAATGATATTAAAATAATAACATATTAATAATAATAAACAATAACTGCATCAATATAAGTTCCAAAAGGTAAAGTTAAAGATTATAAAGCAGTCATTTATTTTTGAAACTCTCTTTTTGAATCTGTGATAATTTATAAGGCATAAATATTCAAGAATGTACTAAGCCGTGCTTGTATAATGCGGAAGTAAGAGAAATGGCTTTATGGGATTAAAAACTCATCCTTATCCAATTACATTAAGGAATTAGCCAGCATGAAAGTAGCACAGAATTTAAAAGCAACATCAGTCTTCAACAGTACAGAAAAAGTTGAAGAATGTTAACAGTTAATGGAATCCTGTATAGTTGTTAAATATTTTATGAAGAATTTTACAACATGAAATTGTTGCAGATTCTGTATATTTTCTTAAGTGTGATTGTAAACCAACTGAAGAATTTTGTACCAAAATGTTTATGGGATTTTATCGAAGTAGTGGAACCTATGGCTGAATCTTTTTAAATCTTTTAGTTTTTGATGTTTTCCCAAATACTACACAATTACCATGTTAGCAATAATATATTAATATCATAGCAACAATAAAATATTATTGATTTTTATAAGTGAGAAAAAACATACATACCAAGTTTATTAAAAGTTATTGTGTATAGTCCCTAAAATCCAGTTATGTTCATTTATTTATATGACTGCACTTCCAGCACTGATTTAAAGAATAAGAAAAACATAAAACTTGAGAATGGGTACTATCTTATCTAAGAAAATAATCAACAAAAACAATACCTTTGTCCTGGTCATCACCAAGGTGAAAACCGAGTGGGATCGGGAGCTTTTATCATTCATTCCAGTAGCAGCAGTTGCTCTTTGTTTATTTCCCAATTCTAGCCAACTCTAAGAAAGAGAAGGAGGTCAGATCTGCAGAATGCAATTTACTGGAACAAGTTTAAGAGCAATAAAGTTCAGTAAGCATATTTGTAACATATATACACTTATGATCGGTTTATAAAGTGAAATTATTAGCCACTGTTTTCTTTTAATAATTTGTATTCCCACTGTAATTTTCTGTCACAAAAACCTAAATCAGGAAATAATAACTTAAAGGCTATTGCTATACCTCTAAGATGAAATAATCAGTTTTGATCTTAATTCAGAGAGTAGTTCTTTTGATTCAAGTTTAACAAAATCAGTTCATGATAAATTAAGAGTGAACTTCTGTTTATGCAAATAACAATGAAAGAAACATTCTTGTCAGTTTTTATGATTATGATAATGCTATCTAATAGAAAGACAAAATATAATCAATCCTACCTGAATATCAGTGTAAGAAGTGACAACATTCCTGTTTTCAAATAGTAAAAAGATAAAATCAATTTTATTGATGATTATACTCTTGTTCTCAAAGTAACTTTTCAAATAAATAATTACTCTCTCAAGAGCACAACTGAATTTTACTAACTTTTCACAGAATCTTTCATTTTTTTGAATTCTTAAAGTAATGCTTATTTTAAAACAAAATATTTTTCTTAATGTAATGAAGCGCCTTAGAATCTTAGCATTATAATACTTAAGTCTAAGTCATGAACAGAATAATCAACTTAACACATATAGAGATGCATGGGTGCACACGTGTGTGTGTTGGTGTGTGTAGGTCTCAACACAATCCCAGATCTATTAAATAGAGTTGAAATTATATCTAATCACTTTTCCTTTCCTACAAGAAAAACATGTGGAGTGTTGAAAGACAAAGCGAACAACTCAGCATTTTTCAGACTCAACACTGAATTGATCTTAGTAACTTCAGCTAAAAAATAATAAGTATAAAAAAATAGTAATAGGTATAAAAAGCTGTTCAAGACTGGAGGCTTAACATAATGGGGAAAGAAGGGAATAAAAGTGGGAAATAAATACTTATTTCATAAGGGGGGAATAAAATGTTTATTTCATAATTACTACAATTAATAGTCTGGCAATTTATAGGCATTGTCAAAGATATTACAAATGTAAACAAAGAGCTAACACCCATTTGGAAAGAGAAGAAATTTTTAACTGAATAATATTAAGGGTAAAAGGCTAAATAGTTATCCACTTTTCTTTTGCTTTCTCCTCCTTGCTCTTGCTAAGCCAAAAACTTACATTGACAGAGCTTCAACGTATGGTCCAGAAATAGGATGCTCCCTTACTCTCAGCTAAGAAAGGCAAACATAGGCATCATTAGGAATATGACAAATACTTCATATAAAACATAATTTCACATGACCATTTTATCTATAATTTGAATTCAAAATAAAGACTTTTACCCAAATGTGGATACAAAGGTATCACAAAAACTAGTCTATAAGGCATCCAGATAAATGCTTAAAGACCACAAACTGTTTGTATTTGTATAATATGCAACAGCAGACTAAAACAAATATCTTACTAGTTTTAAGGGTATCACTAAAACATATTCAGTAAGATCCAGACTTTGAAAATATTCTTCAGTTTTACTTTACACTTTCTAAGTTTTGTGACTAGAAATTTTCAAAGAAGAATTTTAACAGAAGTCAGAAGAAAATGCAAAATTTTAAGTTCTTGATGTTGCCAATAATACATTGCATGACCTGGGTAAGTCAAGTGATCTTTCTAGATTTTAGTTTCTTGCACTATAAGGTTCTTTACAAAATTAAAAAATTAAATTCTAAAAATACTTTTTATAAAAAAGCTTATACATTTGTAAAGCTTTTTATTTCATAGAAAATAGCTACAAGATGTGAATCTGCTAAATAATCCAATGAAATGCATGTTCTATAAAAACAATACAATTTTTAAAACTTTTACTGTTTGGTTGCTTTATAGTTAACTAAGCAAGTAGGGGCTCTCCCTAGTGGCACAACAGGTTAAAGTACAGCGCTATGAAGAGATCCACAGCCACTGCAGCATGAGTTCGATTCCCAGCAGCCAGGGAGCTGACCCACATGGCTTTGGCAGACCTCTCCTGACCCACCCACTGCTCCCCTCAGCAGTGTATTTCAGTCAATTTGCTTCTTCTGCGCCCCACTCTGTCTCTGGGGAATCCTCTCATCACCTCGCACCTCTGGCCTGTAGCCCAGTTCTTGTATGCATAAATAAATAAATCTTTTAAAAAAATTAGGCAATTAGGGTTTAAGGGTCTCACTTATCTTGCAACAGATATTTTATCTTAACTTTTACACAATACCTGATTCAAACAAAAAAAGGTAAGTTCATTAACTGTAATTTCCACTAATGATAATGTTTGGCTTATTTATTAAACAATGATATAGTTCGAATGTAGGTCCCAAGCATTTTCTATCATATAATATCATTTTAATAAAAATTCAAGCAATAGATATCATTTGAGAACTAATAAAATCATATGCATTTATTAACACAGATATTAAAAACAAATAATAAATTCTTTTTATCTTACTGGTTGCTTTCTCTGTCCACTTTCATCTTTACAAACCAGAAGATCATGAATTTTTTCATTATATACTTCAAAGAAGCTCATTTCAAGGTGATACCTGACCTAGTAGAAAGAGAAACAGAACAGGCACTTTGTTTTAAGGTTCTTGCATTTTTTTGCAAATAATAATTATCTAGTACCCATAATATATAAAGAACTCTTAATTAAAACAACAGATAAACAACCCAACTGAAAAACAGGTCAAGGACTTGAAAAGATATTTCCCCAAAGAAAATGCACAAAGTCAACCAGCACATGAAAAAGGTGAATAAGGAAATACAAACCACAGTGAAAAACACTTCACACCCACTAGCACAGACAGCTTTCATCAAAAAAAGAAAACAAAAATTGTTGATGGGGATGTAATGAAACTGAAAATCGACATTGCTGGTGGGGATATAAAATGTGGCAGCCACATAGACATTATCATATGACCCTGCAAAATTTCTGTCCTGTCTACCTAAAAGAAATGAGAATCTGTATCCTGGGAAATATCTGCACACTGCTGTTCATAGCAGTGCTAGGCACTATAATGACCACAACATGGGAACAACCCAATGCCCACCAACTGATGACCAGATGAGTAAGAGTGGTGTATCTATTTAACAGAATTGTACTAAGACAGTAAAAGGAATGAAGTATTGACATATGCCTCTGATCAACCTCTAACATATTATACTAAGTGAAAGAAGTTTTTAATCACCTCATATCACATATTGCATGATAATCCAGTGATATGAAATATCCAGAATAGGCAAATCCAGAAATGAAAAGATTTGTGGTTGCTGAAGTTTGGGGAAGGGGAATGGGTTATAACTGCTTACTGGGTAAGGATCTCCTTTTGGGGGGCGATAAAAAACTTTGGAAGTAGAAAGAGTGGTAATTACACATTATGAATGTAATTTTATGGATAATTTTGTTATTTATTCTTATTTCACCTTTTTTAAAAAAGATCTATTTAATAGCATACAGAACAGGGGTACAGGCCAGAGGTGCTGTGCCAGTCAGAGGATTCACCAGAGACAGAGTGGAGAGCAGAACAGGCAGATAGACGAAGTACACTGCTGAGGGGAGCAGCGGGTGGCTCAGGAGAGGTCTGCTGTACCACATGGGTCACCTCCAGGGCCAGAGATCAAACTCACACTCAAGCAGCTGCAGCTAGCTTACAGCGCTGCATCCTAAACTGTTGCACATCACGGAGGGCCTATTACTTTTCACAAATTAAAATTTATTAAAAAGTAAGTAGAACAATAACAAAAGTTCTTCACTTATTAATTTTTAGGTAAGGTTCAAGTCTATTTATTAAGTACCTACCTACTATACATGGCTTTGGGATCTAGTTAGCAGGATTATAAAGTATAAAGCCAAGGTTCTTGCCTATGAGGTCCCAGCTCACAGGAATGGCCTCAACAGATTAAGACAGATCAATAGAAAATTAAGGGGACAAACTAAGGGAGCGACTACTAAGGGAGCCAGAAAAAAACTGGGTGTGGAGAAAAAGGAGGTGAGGCGTGAGAGACGGAGTGGACCACATGTATACAGACATTTGATCTGGTAAATGGGGATCTTAAATCGTAATTCTTTCTGATTGAGGAAGAAAAGATTAAGTAGGGCTAAGATTCCACTTCATTTTGACTCAGAAAGACAGGAGGGTATAAAGGCTAAAGGAGGGAAAATTGAATTTGTTGGCTTATTTATTCTTATTTCACCTTTTTTAAAAAAGATCTATTTAATAGCATACAGAACAGGGGTACAGGCCAGAGGTGCTGTGCCAGTCAGAGGATTCACCAGAGACAGAGTGGAGAGCAGAACAGGCAGATAGACGAAGTACACTGCTGAGGGGAGCAGCGGGTGGAAAATTGAATTTGTTGGCTTTTACAGTTAAGGGACGTTTTCTTTATTAAAGAAGTAAATGTCTTTTTTTCCCCCTAAAAAAATATTTATTTTTGAGGTAACACTGGTTTACAACACTGTATGTGATTCAAATTTCTAGATTCCCAGGGCTCTATACTTTTATTTTTTAACCTTTGCATAGGCCACTCCCTCTACCTGGAATTTCTTTCCTCATCTTCGCCAAGCTAATACATAGTCATGGTTCCTTCCAAATAAGCTCAGATGTTGCCTATTCTAAGAAAAACCTCTCTTTTCTTCCAACCTTACATATTCTCACAGCCTCCTCCTTCTTAATCGGTTACAGCATTTACTTTAGTTAGCATTCATTGATTGTACTTGGCTGTTTTCTGGCCCTTTTTCCCATTTCACTCTTAGCCACAGGGACTGAGTTTCTTAACTCCACATTCCCAAATCTAGAACACAATTTTCCCAATTTCCTCTGGTAATACTTTAGAGGGAAAGTATGAAAATTCTAAGTTCCCAGATTCTACATATGCACACACATAAAAGTCCTTCCCCCACCACACTTCTACTGATTCTGATAAACAAGCAAATGTAGGAGAAACTGCCCTATAGAGATTTACCTACAGCAAATATTCAATAAATACTTGCTGAATGTATGAATGAATGGGTGAAAAGGAAAGCCAGTCTTTTCAGGTAAGAGCCCTGGAAAGAGCCTGGCTTGTGAGGTGGAATGTTTTAGACTCCAGCTTCAGTGCTCTCTTCCTGCTTCACCAGTACGTGGTGTGCCTGCTGTCCTCAGTCTGGAGCTGCCTGACCAAGGACACATGTAATGATATATAACTACCTCACTAAGTCCCTACACACCCACACAAGAAATGAAGCCCCCAACTAGTAAAAAACAAGAGGCTCCTGCTCTCCCTGCCCACCAGAAGGATTCTGAATTTAGAGTTCCCACAGCGCCACTCCCAAACAGTGCTCTAGAAACGAGTACCTCCTCCAGGGGGAAGCTTCTTAGTGGCCATGACTGATTTGAACATGATCTGTTTTCTAGTGTAATATAAAGATTTACAGATTCAGTGAGAACATACCTCTTGGGTTTGTTTTTTGGCTACTTGAGCAAAAAGATCTTCACAAAATCTTGGAATTATTCCTGGTTCTTCACTTAATCCCATCATCCTGAAAAATACATTATGAATGGGAGAAAGCAAAACTAATTAAAACTAATTAGCTTTCTTCTTTTTTTTTTTTTATTCTTTTTAGGAAGAAATGGGTTGAGGAGAATGTGGAGAGCAAGTTAATTAACCTGATATAATTTGAAGAACCTGCTATGGAGTTAAATCTGCCTGAATTTAAACCTTGATTTCGTCACATTTCAGCTCTGTGATCTTGGTCAAGAAGTGTAAATTTCCATTTCCTACCTATAAAATGGGAATAAATCAAACTATCTAACTTTGAATATTGTGAGAATACAAGCAGAGCCTTTAGCAAAGAGCATAGACTGTAGGAGGAACTCAGAAGCCCACCACTATCAACAATTATTTCCTTCTAGAACAGTTATTATTACCACACCATTTATTAGATGACTTATTAGTAATTCTCACTATTATGTTTTCATTTACACAAGAAAGGTAATTTACAATAAAATGCAACTGCTAATACCTACATTCTAAATATCACACAAAAACTGAAGCCCAGAGGTTATTACCTGCCCAAGTTTCAGAAATAGAACAGAGTAACATGGGTGAGATTTGTACCAACATCTATGTGGTACCTAGATTATACTCTATCAAACCAGGCTGCTTGGCACAAAAGCAGCTGGATACAAAACTTTTCTTGATGATTTGTTTTGCAATAAAACTTACGTATAGGATTTTCCAGAGCCAGTCTGACCATAAGCAAAGAGACAGGTATTGTAGCCTTCAAAGGCTCGCTCGAGGAGGGGTGCTGCTAGTGTCTCATACACAGTCGTCTGACTAGCGTAGTTAGGATGACATTCATCAAAAGACCAAAATGAAACATCATAAATAAAGTGATAAGCTTGTTTCATGTCTGGATGTTCCACAGTTATTTCGCCCCCCTGCAGGAAGACCACCTGAGGTGCTTTTTCAATCTTCTCTCTTCAAAAAGAAGCACAGAAATACTCGAGTTACCATCAGAATTTTGAGTACTATTTTTATAGAACACAATAAGGAACACAAAACTAATGAGCTATCATATTACTCAAGGCAAGAGAATTTTTTGGTTTCATGTGGAAAATGCAGACTGGCAAACATAATTAATGTGGGATTCCAGAATTCCAAAATGTCAATTTTTCTAAGTAGATCGCTTTTTAAAAGTCTGAATGACTTCAGTCTTTTTAGTACAATCTGCTTCAAAGCTGCAGCATACCTCCCCAAGTAGGGTGACTCCAAAAGGGGGGGGGGGCTCAGACACAGTACAGAACACCTGCTCGGCCTTTGTTCATACAGGGGCACCTACCTCATGCTGAAGGGCCTCACGCGGACAGCCACTGTCACCTGACTGTTCTCCACTTTTAAGGGATCTGTTACAGCAGAGTTCTGAACCGCAGTTTCATCTTCAGGAGGGAATGTATTTTCCTGTGACCTTCCCCATTTATTTTCGAAAAGAGAATTTTTTGGCTTTTGTTTAACTTGAAGGCCAGACATGCTATTTTTCAGTATGGATGCCGCTGGGCTCTTAGACAGAGGTGTGCTGCACTTTGGGGTGGATCTGTGCTCAGTAATATATTTAGAAGGTGTTCTTTGCTCTAAGCTTCCAAATGTAATTGAGCTTTTCACAGCGTCCTTCCCAGCACTTCTCTGATAGGAGTTCCCCAGTACCGACACGTTGACATCCAGCTTGCTCTGAGTGGGTTTTGTGGCCAAATGTCCTGAATTAGTAGCTCCACTCTGATTCTGGAAACCAGTGGGTGCTCTCAAGTACTTAAGTGCATCCTTCTCATTTGCCCCACGGAGGGCAGAAAACGTTTTGTGTTTTTCATCAGCCATTATTCTGATCTCTTCTGGGTCTTCAGCAAAAGGGACAATAGAAGAGTTTTTATTTTTATTTACAATTTTTACACTGGCACTAGTTTCCTGGGAAGCATGTTTATTCTCTGATTCTTCTCCCACCTTCTGCCTTGTTCTCCACTTTCCCCCAGAATCCACTTTAGCACGACGTTGTAACGTGAGACGAGTTTCTGTTTTTTCTGTGGAGTCCACCAACTCAGTATCAAGCAAAGATGACTCTTTGCTTCTTGTAACTCTTCTCTGAAGTGTCAATCTATCTACTGAGTTAGGGGTACAGGGAAGATCTGGTTGTTTGCACGCAGAGATAACATACGTGTTATTTATATCTCTGATTTTACTTGCAGATCTCAATAAAGGATCATCATTTTCACATTCTGACAAATCCGACTTCAAATGTAGCTTAAGTCTGCTACTATGGGTGAGGACATTCCTTGATGAGCTCTTTTGGGAAGAAGGAATGTCAAGAATACGATAATTACTTCTATTATGTGCTGTGGACAGTGACATTGTGGTAGCAGGTTTTTTTTTAAAGACTGTTGTTAAACAACCTACATTCTTCTTTGCACTTGCATTTGATTTCCGGCCATGTCTTATGTATTAGCTTCCAAAAATATCTGCTAAACTACAAAAAAAAAAAAAAAAAGAAAAAAGAAAAAGAAAGAAAAAATTATATGGTACATTCCACCACAGCCTTAAAAAAATCTGAGAAACTTCCACTCTGAAAGTAACGTCCCAGAAAACTACACTAAAATAAATGACAATATCCAGCTCAGATATGTTTTCATGCACACTCAGACAAGTCTTTGCCCTCAGAGCTTATAGTCATTTTAACAATATTTACTGAGTTCCTGTTGTGTGCCAGGCCCCCTGGAAAATACAACAGATTTCAAAGACAGGACTTGTATCATTTCTTTAGTCTAGACAGAGTACACAGATAGCACTTAGGTCAAATGTGCCAAAATGTAAAAAAAAATGCATGTCGGCAAAGCTGATTTTTTACAGTTTGGCAAGTGGGAAAAGGGAATCAACGGAAACCTTAGCACCTGAGTCAAACACTGAAGCAAAGCATTTATACAGTGCCTGTTGAGTTTATGTTAAAATAGAGTTGCCTCGGATTAGTTGTGAGGCGTCACAAGGCAGATAATTTCCAAATAAGTACCAGAGACCATAATTACCAGAGGAAGGTGCTGTAAGTACTGTAGGGTAAATGGAAGTGATCAGATTTTTTTTCCGTCCTTCCGCCATTAGCATCAATGATCCACAATTGTGGTCTTACATGCATGTCTGATGCTGGCACCTGTGTTGTGGTCGTGTCTACAGCTGAGTCCAGAGGTGGAGCACACAAGAGAGCAAGCAGAGGGTGTGGCAGCGGAGGGCCCTAGGGCGGGGTGCTATGGAGCCTAGAGAGCCCAGAGTGAAGATTTAGGGGTGGCGGACAAGAATCTTCACTTCTGATGTGAGCCTCCAGCCCTGCCCTGCACCTGGTTGCCTCGCTACTAATGGTGTAGAAAATCATTAAAAGCCTGAAAAACCACTGAGGGCTCCAGGACTCCTCCTTGACCCATCTGCCAGGCTCCGTTGAGAACCTTCCTGGCACTACAAGTACTATACAATAAGTGCTACATACGAGTACTCTAAGTAATTGCTCTTGTTGAGTACATCTATGCAAGCAGGAGCGAGCCTGCCCCCCAGCAGTTAGAAACGAATGAGACAGATGTGCACCTACATCTATGTCAACAATATACATCCAACAATAAAATTTAAAAGAAAGAACAGCAGTAACAGTTCAGGTGCCGCTTTCAAGTCAAAATACAAAGTGCATCTCTCAAGCCTTTTAATTAAAAGTATAGAATCTTCCTTGTATGGCAATTATACTACAGCTGAAAACTATTTGCTAGTTACGCAAATCGATAAGGTATTTTGTTGAGGAATTTCGCCATCAGATTTTAAGAACTGGGACAAAGAAAACCCCAACCGAAACAAAACATCCAGATATTCTGTTCCTCTCCTCCACGCCCTACCAGGTACCTCTCAGTGCCAACACCTTGGTGAGACTTCCACGGGTAAAAACTGGAAGCCCTGAAACCCGACTTCCGGGACCCACAGAGGCCCGCGCCCCTCCTTTGTGGACACCTTCGCAGCCGGTCAAGGTTCCGTAGCAAGTGGGGACCGAAGCTAAAAACTCCCCCGCACCTCAGGTCACGGGTACAGAGAGCGCCCACCGCCCCCCTCCACTGTACAGGCTTCGCCCCTCCCCAGGGCTCCCCTTCTCTGAGCTGCCCGGACCCCCAAGTCCCTCACCTCATCCGTCGTCGCCTCCCGCCGTGTCCGCAATTTGAACGGGCGCCCCGGCTGCTGATTGGCTGCTGCCGAGGCGTCCAGCGCCGCGCCCTCGCGTCCTCCCGCCCTCGCCCCGCCCCCGGAAGTTCTGGAGGCTGGATCGCTGGGAGCCTAAAAGCTAGACACTTCCCACCCCACCTCACCCCCGCCCCGTCGCCAAAGCAACGGCCCGCTCCTCCATCAGCTAAAATGGGGCGTTTAAGCCCCTTTAAATACCGCCAGAGGGCGGGGGGGGGGGGGTGGTTCTGGGTACAGCCTCGAAGCATCTAAAAGTGGGTTTTACATGGAGCGTCCCGAGGACCCAGCAATGCCACTCCTAGGTATCTACCCAAAAGACACAAAAACACTGATTCAAAAAAATACTTATACTCTGGTTTCTCTTCAGATCGCATAAATCTTTTGCCTTTTACTAAAAACATACCTGCACCCCCATGTTTAGTGCTGCTTTATTCACAATTGGAAAGACATGGTAACAGCCCAAATGCCCAGAAATGGATGACTGGATTAAAAAGATGTGGTACATAAACACAATGGAATATTACTCTGCAACCAAAAAAAGAAACACATGTCTTTTGCAGGGACATGAATGGAACTGGGAAAGATCATGCTTAGTGAAATAAGCCTGAAAGAAAAGGAAAAATACCGATGGTTTTCCTCAAAGCAGGAATATAATGGAAGAGGCGAGAAAATAATGATAATGATGAACAGCTATATACCAAAGACATTTTGTAGGGGTGGAGTGGGGAATGGGATCAAAAACAGTGGGGGAAGGGAAATGCACTGGACTGGGGTGATGGCACATGGGTGATTTGGTGATGGGAAGTCCACGCGTAATATGGCCCCCAGTTTACTGATAAGAAAAAATTGATGTAGAAAAATTGAATGGATGAAAAAATACTTATTTAAAAATTCATTTTAAAAATCTTTCCAAATTTAATTAAAATTAAGTTGTACAGGTGATTTGGTGTTGGGAAGCCCATGGAGATTACAACTGAGATGGAGAAATGTACAAAATGATGTAAAAATAAACTATAAAAAATTTAAATTGTAAAGAAACTAACAGCAAATTAAAAACCCTCTATCATATTTGTGGGGATACAGCCAGTTTAGAACAGGAAAACATATAGCAAAGAAAATGAACTTCTTAGAAGAACATAAAGCAAATTCAAATACATAAAAGTTTTTAGGTGTGCATATAATTCAAAATAATAAAAATTAAATATACGTTAAATAGACAACACATTAACTATGACAAAAGCTATCTCTCATCTTTCTGAGGAAAATAAGTTTATATTTGAATAATAAAATAAACAATATAAAAATGGACAAAGTATTTCATTAAAAAGTTCACATACACACAAAAATAATTCATATTATAGAATGCACACCTGATTATTATATGCAAACTTAAAAAAATAAGTAAAAGAAAATTTGTTAAAATTTTTGATACTGGTGATTTTGTAGCAAAATCTAAAGTATGCACTTCTGGTAACATAAATTGATATCCTTAAGAGCAGAGATCATAGCTGTTCACAGTGTATCCGTAGTGCTTAGTATATACAGATACATATTAGATGCTCAGTAAATAGTCTCCAGTAATAGTCTCCACAAACCGTGGTCTCTCCCTAGTGGTACAACGTGTTAAAGCACTGCACTATGAAGCTGTCAGAAGACATTGCAGTACAAGCTTGATCCCTGGCCAGGGAGCTGACCAATATGGTGTGGCAGACTTCTGTCTGCCCATTGCCCTCCTCAGCAGTGTATTTCAGTAGATCTGCCTGTTCTGTTCTCCACTCAGTGAATCCTCTCACCCACCACACTTCTGGCATGTACCCTAGCTCTGTAAGCATAAATAAATAAATCTTAAAAAAAAAAAAAAACCTGCTGTAAAGCAAGATGGAAATGCAATTGGAAGAACCATAAGGTATTGATACCTTATGACCTAGTAACTTCACTACAAAAAATTGTCCTAAGAAAATATTTCAGTACAAACCAAAAGGTAGATAGGAAAATTGTCTATGCATATTGGTCCCAAATTGGAAAAACCCCAAATGCCCAAATATAATGGTTCTAAATGAGGGGGAAAATAATAACTTCTATTCAATTATTAAGGGTTCATTGGCTTATAGACCTTCCCCCACAAACCATGAGTCCAAATAGAACAGATCTTGTCTGTCTCACTCTGGGCTCCATAAGCCTGGACCTTCATCTAACCAAGTTACATTTCTCTTGTGTTCTTCCTCTGTTGGAAGAACCAGATTTAATTCCAACCAGAAGAATAATGCCGTGCAGATGAATGGACACCTGTGAGCCATCTCCAAATTACAAGAGATGGGTTTTTGATCGGTATTTATTACACTGAGATGTGCCTTTCTTTTCAAATCTTGTCCACAGCTGAAAGAGAAGTCACTTAACCTCAGGTTATGGAAATAACAGATGAGATGAGAATGCTATTTGCCAAAAGAGTGACAACAAAGGTCAATTACATCATGTATGCAAGTGTTTAGAGTAGAGCCAGGAATCAGGTTAATGCCTAGAGTACGAAGGGGAAGTATTTACAACTCCCCAAAGTACTGAAAAGCCCCATGAGGCCAGAGCTGAGGAACTGGAATCACGCGTTTTATGGGCTCATCATCATAATGACACATTTTATGAAGGATGAGGATTATGATTTAATCCCTAGAAATAAACATGAGGTGAACTAATAAGATCTGTTATAATCAACACACTGTACTGCATTAAAAATCATAACATGGGCCCTCCTTGGTGGCGCAGTGGGTTAGGGTATACTGCAAACAAGCCTCAGCAGCTTCAATGTGAGTTCAATCCCCTGGCCCAGGGGTGACCCACATGGCGCAGCAGATCTCTCTTGACCTGCCTGCTGCTCCCCTCAGCAGTGTACTTCATCTATTTGCCTGTTCTGCTCCCCACTCTGTCTCTGATGAACCCTCTCACACCCCCACCTCTGGCCTGTACCCCAGTTCTATATGCATAAATAAGTAAATCTTTTTAAAAAATCATAACACAAGAAGGAAGAAGGGAAGGAAGAGAGAGATGGGAATAAAGGGGGTGAGAGCCATCTTGGATTGATGTGGTAGAGACTATATCAGTCATGGGTGGTAGCCTGCACAGATAGATGGCATAAGCCAGCCTGCCTGCCTCCTAAA